CATTTCCGCTTTCAGGTTGGTGAATAAGCAGCCTTCTCTGTGAGCTGTTGTTCAGGAAAAGAATGCAATAGGAGCTCTACAACACACCATTGCCAACATTCCCTGTGTCTCCCCCTGGTGCTGAATCAGGCCGCTCTGCACAGCAAGAATTTGCACTGCAAGCTCTCACTGTCTCGTGTTCTAGCTGGTATGTCTCAGCACACCGGGAGCATTTATCAAGTCTTTAATACAATATAGTCTGGTGCATACATTTTTACATTCCTGCTGCAGTTTTGTTCTTTAATTCCATGTGTACGTTCCATTGTTTTGAAAAACCCGTACCTGTCTGAAAGTTGTTTGCCTGTCTGCCTCCCTGATGACTGCATGTCCAAGGCTCTGGCAGTGTGGGGATCTGCAGTCCTCCACTCTACTGGGGAGATGCTTATTGTAATGTCCGTTTCGAATTCTTGGAGTCTGGGCTGTGTGGGACTGTGCAGGACCGCGTGCTGCCAGGACGGTGAACCCGAGCAGCTGCCCCATGTCAGCGGGCTGTGTTCTGCGGTGATGTGCTTCCTGGTGTGATCTGAGCTGGTCTCTGCACATCCACAGACAGGCGTAGCCTGCCCCCTTGTGGCCTTGCGGCTCACACTTGAGACTTTTGGGCATGCTGTGTTGCTACAGATACTGTATTTAAATAAAGCATGTCATACCCTATATTTTGTTTTAAGCATATAAATATACAGATATTTTTTAAATGTTAGATTTCTGACTCTCTAGGTTTTGTCCTACAAATGGGAAGCAAAGATGTATGAAGAAATAATGAGCCATTGTACAAAAGCACCAACCATATTATTTCCAAAACAGAAAAGATGGACAATCTGGACATCGCCAACCAGACAAACAACGTGTCTTTTTTATTCATTAGCACATCAGCAGTTTATTAATCTCACCTACTTCCTCTCTACTCTGTATATACTGTGTATATACAGAAGAAGACTCCACAGCCGAAATGTTGTGTTTCTTTTCTTCTCTTTTCAGTAGGGACATTTATTTGTTTCCCTACTGTGTAAATATACACATATATCTCCTCCTGAGCTTCCATTTGCAAATCTCTCCTGCACCCTCCCTCCTTCCCATCAACACCCTTGCAGCAGCTCCCTGGCTCATTCCTTATGACCGTGAGGAGGGTCCTGCCTCCTACTTACTGTCAGGCTGCTGTTCCTTCAGCTAGGAGAGCTACACTAAAAAAACACCAGGACATTTAATCTCCATACGCCACTTATTGTGTTCTGACCAAACTGCTGAAAACACATATTTAACAACAGATCCAGTGTTTCATTGCTTTTGCACTTTCATCTGCATTCTTTCTAGTGTGAGAAAGCATGTGTTCGCATTGCCCAATCAGGCCAGATTGTGCATCTCAAAGTATTCAAAGAGTCCTCCATCACACCGTATTGGAGTTTTCTCCTTGAGTGTTTCTAACGGAACCTGGCAAGGCGCAGAGCTAGCTACGAAGGTCACTGAGAGGGCCTCTCAATACAGCTTCAGAACGCAATTTCGGTGTTGGAGAAACCTTCAGACATCCTTCAAGCTATAAATATTCCTGACTCTGTCTATGGCAGAACTGGAATTGCACAGAGAGGGGTCAAGCAATAAAACCTGATAGGGTTTGTGCTATCATACAGTATCACCCCACTATGAGCTTCAGTCTCCTGGGAAGGGCTGAAACCCTTTAATAACACGTAACGGCTCTTATCCCTCTGGCTGTCATTGAAGCACTCTCCTTCGTTGTTTAGTGAAGAAAAGATCTGGGCGCTGCAGTAATGTAATTTAGTAACAGGGGAATCTCTGCTGCAGTAAGCAGAAACACTGTTTTTACCTGTTGACAGACAATGTAAACTATTGCACAGAATCACGGACCGTTACCCTGTTCTGAAGTCGGTGAGTAAATTTCCCGGCCAGGATCTTGTACATTCAGTCCAGGCTGGAGCCGAGTCTGCTCCAAGCCCTACAGGTAGGTGGCCTCGATCACGTGGGGCTCTTGGCTGCCGCCCTGCTGGTGGAACTTGCAGAGGCA